CAACAATGTTTAATAATTCATCCAAATGATTTAAAGATTGAAAATAATCAACTAATTGATCAACAAACTAATTTTATTATTGAACAATTTATTCTTGAACTACATCAAGATGAAATTTTAAATTTATCTGATGAAGTTCTGGAATATTTGATTCGCAATAATGAAATCAGTTATATAAATGATTTGCGAACAATATTTCTTTTACATGATAAACGTTTATTTTCACTTTTATCAAATCAATCATTTCTCTATGCTTTATTAAATAATAATCGACAAGAAACAATTTCACAAATAATACCAAAAACGTTTGTTATTAATAAAATACCAAATTATCTGAAAGATTCAATTGTTCATAATAAACAAGATTGGTGTATTAAACCAAATTCTGGTGGAAAAGGTGAAAATATAACTATAGGTAAGTAAACTATTGATGAGTTCGTGATGAAATAATGAAATTTTTATATTAGGTGTTGATGTGACATCAGATGAATGGTCAAAACAATTATTAGATTCAACTCATGAACAATGGATAGTTCAAGAATATTGTGAATATGTGCAATATAAATCGATGAATTTATGTGGAATGTTATTATGTTTTAATGAACAATGTTTCAATATGGGAATAATTCGTATGGCTCCAAATAAAATTGTGAATATATCTCGTGGAGGTTATTATATTCTTCCTTTTGTACATCAACAATATATTCATTCTATGAACGATAAAAGTATTTTAACAAAAGAAAAATTGCATGAACAATTAGTTGAATTCAAAACAACTGATAAGTATTGGAATCAATCAGTTTATCTCTCATCATCAGGTGGAAGTGGGGGAAAACGATTATTTTTTGCAACAGATATTCAACAAAATCTTCGTCAAAGACAAATTCTTGTTAATATGATGTTAGATAAAGATATTATTTCTGATCGTGATATTTGTTTAAATTTATTTCAATATGGAAATATTTATCGTTCATTTGAAATCTTTAATGACTTTTGCTCGATGGCAAATTGTACAACAATTCCAATGGGTGCAGATGCAAGTAATGAAAATATTTTAGAAATGGTTGAATATTTTAAACCAAATGTTCTTATGGGTTCACCATATCGAATAATGCAATTAGCACTTTATTTAGAAAAACAAGAAAAAAACGATATTAAATTTGAAAAAATTTATTTTGCATGTGAATCACTTGATAAAATAAAACAAGATTATTTTCAACGAATATTTCATTGTTCAATCTATATTGGATTCTATGGTTCAGCTGAAACTGGTGTTTATGCATGTCAATCACCAAAATATTCTTCAACAAAAATTTATCTTTATCCAAAAGAACTAGTTCAAATTGAAATAGTCAAGTCAAAAATAATTGTTACAAATCTTATTCGAAAACGAAATCAATTAGTTCGTTTTGATTCTGGTGATCTTGGACGAATTGTTTCAAGAAATGGAAATAGTAAATATGGTTTGATTGAAGTATTTTGTAGTGAACGATTGATTATGATTGGTAATGATGATCTTTCGAAGTCAGATATTGAAGAAACAATGAAACAAATTGATGTAATCGAATGGCAATTAATTATCGATACTATTTTACATGAGAAAATTAATAAAATTCTTCTTTTATTCCGATATGTTAAATCTGATTTAACTTCCAATGAAATTCTTGAAAAAACTATACAAAATTATTTACAAAAATGTTTTGAGAAACCATTATCAACTCTTTCCGAAAAATTAACTCTTCAATTTGAATCAATTCAATTTAATGAATTAATTCGAAATAAAACATCAAATAAATTATTAAAAATTATTGATAAACGTTTATAATTTGTTCTTTTTTTTTATTAAAATAAAAAAAAATTTCAAAATTCATGCAAAGAAAAACTATAAGATTATGTATTTTCTATTACAACATGTACAAATAAACTTGAATAGGTTGAATCACGATCTTTAGTTCTTAGATAAATATGACGATAACCTAAAGTACAATTGAATTTATTAGAAAATTATTTTTATTTTAATAAGAATAAACCTGTTTGAATAGTTGTCAATGGTAAACAAAAATAAGCAAGATGATCATCATGACTATAAATATCATAATCATAAACATCAAAACATATAAGACACATTTGTGGAAATGAAATTTCAAATTCAAATGTTTCATTCCATAATGGATTTAAACCATTATTTTGTATAAACTTCGTTTTTTGTATTTGTTTATCACATACAATTCCATGAGTTGATACAACAACATATGGATTCGAAATATCATTTTTATTTCTATTTGATCGGTATAAAAACTGTCCACTTATAATTGTTATAATTAAACGTTGTGGATATTCAAGAATATTTTTTGAAATTTTATTTGATGATTTTATTAAATAATCTAAGGGATTGAATTTCGCTTTATCACTATGCATTAAATAATTCGGTTTGAGAATATAACCACATTTACCATTATCAAGAAATTTTCCATGACATAATTCCATAAAAGAATCATTATTTTGATAATTAACTGCAACTATTTGTATACCAAAATTCCATGGATCAATTGGATTTGGATTATTTGAATTATCCGAATGTATTCGAAGTAAACATTTTCGAGTTTGTTTAATTAAACCAAATGGATCGCAATGAGAAGCTTGTTTAAATTCTTTTTCAGAAAGTGATGGTAATTGTAAACACATATCTATATGATAATTAAATAAAATCGTAAAATAAATAAATATTTACTTACAATGATCTTTTGTATAATTATAATCACGAAAAGGTACATTTTCAAGATAAATAAATAAATCAGATATACCATTATTAACTATGGGATTATCAAATTTATCATTCTTTTTTAATAATTTAGAATCTTTGATTGGTACTGATGATTTTATACTCTGATATATAGAATGGAATTATGTATTTTTAACTAAAACAAAATGGCTGACTTACACGAACAAGAACTTTATGTTTAAGATTTTCCGGTGATGGTAACATCCACGAACTTTTTGATAATGGAGGTTCAGTAATTAATCGATCTTAAGAAAAAAAGAGAAATATAAAATTATATAATTTCTTTTTTTTTATTACTTCCAAGAATTTCTTTTAGAATTCGAGCGATTTCTTTTTGTTGTTTAATTGAACAATGATTTTCAATTGAAAGAATAACCGGGTAACTATATAAAAAAAAGTATTCATTTAACGATAATAAAAATTTAATATTTTATGTAAAAAATTACGGTGATGTTTTGAAAAGATTCGGTTCAATAAAATGAATAACAGATTCAAATGGATATGCTTTAACAGAAGAATATTCATGTTTAACTACTGGTTGACCATCATGACCATCATAACAATCAATTTCTATAACTCGACAACCAGCGCGTAATGCTTGATTGTATACTTCTGGATTATTCTTATCATTTCCATGATTATCAAATAGATAACTACAATAACAAACAAATCTATTGAGTATATTAAAATATAATATATAGAAGAATTATACGTATTATGTGAAGCATTTATAAAGTAGTCACTTAATGGTCTAAATAAAAAAAGAGAAAATAAAATGAAAATTGATTATATATGAATATATCACCTTGTCATATCTTGATAAGTTCGACGAGAACACCATGGTTGCATAATACAAAAATCATCAGATGATAA